CGAACAAAGCCAGGTAATGTATGTTCAGAATAATTCATTATCGAGACAAAACTCAATACAGTGCTTGAAACAAATCAAGTAAATTACAATGTGGGAAGCACGTCTACGGCTCAGGTAAGCCACATAGATCCCCGGACCGGTCAAAAGGTGGCAGTGCTAGGAAAACTCGCCCGTGTAAACCTCTTCCACGGTAGGGTGCATGCATGAGAATCACTAATTAGTGGCAATACGAGACGGCGGTACTCGCGTACACGTCGTGATCTAGGTCTGCTCGAAAACATTTGCATATAAAGTGTACCCACTTTGGCATGGATATTTTAACACGAGAGTTAGTCAATTACGCCAGTCTATAATGGCGATTCAGGGACAGTCAGTACATAGCGAAAAACCACTCGCTAAAATTGAAGGATGTTTCAGGTATATTCCATGTGACACTTTCAAGGCTTTTTTAGGGGGGGTTGTGCGATAAATGCCCTAAATTACTCGTTTTTGATTTCGAATTCGGTGAAAAATATCTTGCACCCTAGGGGGAAAAACTTGAAAAACATCACGAAGGGTAATATGGTTGTGAGTCAATGGCACTCTTATTCAGAAAGAACAGAACTAACCCTTTTCTTTTCATAAATTCCACAGTGCAATCAAGTTTAACTTCGAGTGTAACGTCGAGTTTACTGCAACTTAAGACCATGCAGCCCCCGAGGGCCCAATACAAAAAAACGAGTAAAACATTTGGTGCGTTGTTCGCGGTATGTTTCCACTTCATTCCGTTTAAACGACTTCCTTTTACTTCTGATCTTTCCGAGTCGTCATGATTTCCAATCGAAATTTCAACCTTTGGAAGACCCACCAATTCAATCTTGAAATCAACTGTGGGAAATTTTCGACGATCGCCGGGAGAGTTTTGGAAGCTGGATGGGTAGCAACGCTGCATGCTCAAAAAGGCTGTCCGCCTCGAGCAGAAGTACCCCTTATCGAGTAAAAACATCCAGGTCGGAAATGTTCTTTTTTGTTGTTAGGACGTGCATTTCATAGTCGTTTGTGAGTCAGCGAAGAGCTGTTTCTATCTGAAGAGCTCCGCTACTACGAAAATTGCGCCCTCTCTTGGTCGCGCATAGGGCTCATGATCACGGACGTATATTAAAAACCTGGACTTGGAACGCCTTTGTATGGAGAAAAAGCCAACCAACGGCCATTTTACCGAGCCGAATAAAAAAGCGTGGGTTGGCCCCCTTCTATTGACCCCTTCTATTGACGTCAGAAAGAACAAAGGCGGGCATTACCAGGAAAGCTTTGTATTCGGCTCGGTAAAATGGCTGCGAGTGGATTTAATGACTCTCATAAGCTGCTTAAGGGCATTGCGAGTCCAGATTTTATTATACACGTCTGTGCTCATGATGGCCAACTAAACATTTCAAACCACTGAAATCGTGGTATGCAATCACAAATGGGTACGTCAAACTGAATCCCTACACTGGAGCCTGCCAAATAAACTGCTTCATAACACCGAGCATGCAAGAGACCTTATCCCACCCTAGTGCAAAATCACATCAAGTCTGAGGTGGGACTAAGACCTATTGCGCCTCGATATTTCCCACTCAGAGCAGGCGCACTTTCCCCCACATTAGCCCGTTCTCCCCAAACGTATAATTCACCATATCTCCTTTTTTTTCTACCTGAAATCGTTTTGTCATGTACATTTTGTAAAGCCCTCACCATCTTGAACGGCGCCATCTGTCCATTTGTCGGGAATACATGAATCTCAATCCAATGTCTTTGATCCAAGTTAGAATAATACAAATATTTGGAGACGCCTGTTGGTTGTATACGCTTTGCATACGTATAAATATCGGTGCTTCAGATGAGCAGTGCTGCACAGGCGTCTTGATATGTACCATTTACATCCTTTCACGGCTTTCGTTGAAAATACAAAAAGAAAGATGTGATTGTTCCTATTTCCGTTCAACCTCGGCTCCGTCCATTCTTTTGACTCCACTTGCCAAGGCTGGATGTCACATGCACGAGTAGTATAGTGCTCCAGGGTACAATCCAATAGAGGAAATTTTAATTATCTGTTTTGCACTGCGCATCTACGACCTTTAAATGCTATAGCGCAAAAGAACGTAACTGATACGTCGAGCACATCATGGCACTGGAGTTGAGAATTTAACAGGCGATCGTCTGGCTCAGGGTTCCCTAAATCTTCCAGCTCTGGTTCATTGTGAGACAAGCCGCGGATGCAACTTTAAACACTTTGCTGAACTATTCGTCTACTGTTTCTTTTCATTTTAATTTTAAAGGTTTTTCGCTCTCCTAGACAACACGCTGCGAGGCTTGAATGGTCCTTTCCAGGCTCCAGTTATTTCAACACTTTGCCTGTTGAATGGTGGGCAATTACTGACTGCCTCTGTCAACATCCGCAAGCATACGAAGACGTTCCTTATTAATCGCTGCTTTATTATTATTTATGCACGGCCAGGATGCACCCTCCCTCAGGCCCAGGGCAAGAAGTTTACCTGCGTGCAGGTAACATCTCCCCCCGCACGGATTAATCGACGCCTTTTCCCCCTTTCGTCAGAGGCCCACGAGGACCACTTCAATCGCTGAAAGCCGAGACGTGCGTCAAGCGGGAACGTTTAGCGTATAATTATGGAAATGTAGCTTTTCTTTTTTTACCCCTTAATCAGAAGTCGAGACAGTGATGCCCGGAAGGACTCCCTTGATGGACTTTCATATCGTTCAGTGCTCGCTTCATTCAACCGCCACATGGACAATGCATTTCCTTCGCAATATCCTGATAAAATTGGTTGTGGTATAAGTCTATGCCTACTTTTACATTCACCATGAAAAATGTACCGTTTTACCCGTTTTAACTTACTAAAGTGACCTTGAATAATAGCCATTTTAATCAAATTTTTACCTCTTACATTTTGCATACGAGAGTTACTGTGGCTGAATTTGAAGACTCTTTGCCTCGTTGTTAGTGGTAAAAATGGTACTAAAAACGACTTGAGGCAGGCATACGCTAACTTGTCAGCAAACTATGCTATCTTGTCAAAATGACAAGTTAAAGGTAGTGAACACCATTGGTGTTTTGCCGTAATTTCACAAGATTGGCTGATTACGATGTATAATATTCACAGCAGCTTACATTTCACTGACTTAATTCATGTTTTAGTCACTGCTTCGTGAAAAATCGAGAAAAACAGCGTGGAATTTTCAACTCCAAAATCGAAGGTCTTGTAATTTATCTTGCGTAAAATCTCTGTATTACAGGGTGTTCGGAGTAAGCGAACAACGTCCGTGGGTCACATGGGAAACAGACATGACAGGTTCTCATTCCCTTGAAAAAGGAGCAGCTTTCAAGGGAATGGAAATCAGTGCAGTTACCTTGGAATAATGCGCTTTCCTCGACAATGTAGCAGTATTTACGGATTCCTGCAAAAACGTGGAACTGCCATGATATTTGGATCAAAACATTATGCTCTATTGGTGGTTTTGAATTCGCAAAGATTTTGCGTTAAGAAAATTCTTTCATTGAATAGAATTTAACTTCATACTGATCCAATTTATTCTTCACTTTACACCTTACATAGCTTCCTATAATTTCAGTTAACAATGTTTTGGTGAATTCTGTCGGTATATTTTGAGCTGCTTTTAGGTTTAAATGGAGACTCCCACAACATCTGCAAAGACTACACAGCAGAAAAGACGAATTACTGCCTGTTAAAGAATGTGATGTGCGAAGTGAAATGAACTCATACCATGGTCGGCCGGCAATGTAAAAAAGAGAATAAAATGTCTGTTTTCTCGAAAACAACAGCATTCTGGGTGGAAATATTTGACAGACTGGTTGAACCTGTTATGTACTTTCTTTAAAGTAAGATATTTCAGGATTATACCGTAGTCTGATTTGGAGGATTTTACCGATGGTCTTCCCTACCTTTGAATACTGTAATTTCATGCCACCTAACATCTAACGTACGACAATTTTTGTGAATCTTCTTTGGTAAACTATGAAGTCAGACATGCGAGATGAAGTTTATAAGGAAACGAAACTGTTACACGCTGGAGAAACGACTACGATAATTTGAAAAATACAATTCCTCTCAGTTTAATTTTGATGGACATTGTCCGCTACAAACTGACATGTGAAGAAAAAATGGAAATCGGTCAACAAGAGAAACGTTCTCATTTAAAAAATATGTATCTATAAAATCGTTAAAAAAATGGAGTTACAATAATATTTTACGTTTTGTTATTCATGATTCGGTGTACTTGTGCCTTGATCTTCAATTAACACCCGCAAATCCCGACAAATGAGAAAACGTGCCAAACATACAAAAAGATCTACTTATTTATACGGGTGGTTATGACGCATAATCAGGAACGGCACAACATTTTACCTTGCCGCCTGTCTGGATGCGTGACTTAAAAGAATTATCGGTGCCAAGAGAGCAAACATAACCGTAACACGATTATTGGCGAAGTGGCCGTCGGAACATTGAGGGGATACGAACAAGCACGTCCGACCTTGGATTCCGACCCCCGCCAATTGCCGATATTACTTTTTCGTCACTGAAAAACGAGTACAAGCAATTTAGCTGGCGGTAAGTCAGCAGAACCAATCGGGATGCAACGCCATTGTCTCGTGTAGTGGAACGTGGTCATTATGTGTTCAGTTGTCAATGACTCATACGCGTCGGACAGAATGTATGCAGGTCACAATCTGTATATGCCAAATATAAGTAATGTTGTAATTTTACTGCCCAAACGCTGTACCTGCCATTCAGGCGACTGATTTGACACGCTCTACCATGAACTGCTCTATTTTGTGAAAAATTGCATCTGCAAAAAACTTTGAGGCTATCACCACTTGGCCCAAATGTTACGGCAAATCGCAAATGGAAGGCTAAACACAGTTCTCGTACGGTCAACATTTCAGCTACAACACCAAGAGAGATGTTAATATGAAACAATAACCGTCTTAACGAGGCACGTACCTGAATCTATTGCCTTGTCGAAGCTTCTACATCGCCACAAAATAACCGCGTCCGAACAATCATCATACAGGTCCCTCTCCACAACTTTAAAAGGAAACAGAAAAAGAGATGAAACACATGAAGTCAGTTTGATGTTCTACCAGCAAATAACCATATCGCATCACGCGGTAAAAAAGCAAGAGACACAGCTAAACCCTTCTCCCCTTAACTCACGCTGTAGCTCATGATCCCGAGACCTCTCTCGATGGGACTTGTCATAAAAGTTGTCGAATGGAAACTGCTGTCGAGTTAAGTTCGGTTCCAGCACATATTGTGACGAAAGCTTGCTTGGAACCACATAAAGTGCTATGGTACCTAAGATCAAACTGGTCTACATGTTCATGGCTGTTCAGTGTCACCATACTGAAATCAGAGACATTCCACGTGTTCACTAATTTCTATTTGTCACAATCAGTAGTTCTAATGAGGGTGTAACTTTCATAAGAGCTCATTTACTGCAAATTGATATCTTTTGATTAAATTTGCATGATACTCAGCCAAAGCAAACTTATGAATCCCAAACAGCCACAGCGATTTCTCTACTGCTCTTTTAAAAAAACCGTGCCACAAGAAAGTGCTTTTAGACACAAAGGTCAAAAGCAAACTGGGCCAAGCAATCGGCTTCAGGCATCCCTGCCACGCAGCGAAGAGTCTTTATTCCATGCAGCCTACCGGGTTGTCTTGACCTTGGGGGCACCTTTTCAAATATGTAGACGCCCACACCTGATTCGGGAAGTCTTGAGGCTTCAAATAGAGAGAGTTTTTAAAAGCTCTCCCACCCGCCACTGATGTTAACGTAGGTGATTTAGACTCATCTAGACAAGTTGTTTATATACCTCGTTTCGACAAGACGGGAGTGTAGAAAATTGGGGAGTGTCATTGACTGTTCACAGTGTCTGGATATCAAGTCACACAAAATAATTATGTGGGCGGGGAATGTTATAGCTAGGTGATTGGGCAATATGGTTTTACAAGAAAGACATATTCCTCCTGGAATTCAGCCGGGTTATTTGAATTATATTTGTTACCGATGAATCATGAACTGAACTTGGAACAATCAACGAGACTGCACTGCAAGTGCGTGCTTAAACTGTGGACTTAATGTTCACTAGTAGGCCTACACGACTTTATACCGGTATGATTTTTCCCCAAGCGATCACATGTTTGCAGACCAAGTACCAATTGTAACAATTAGTTAGGAATGGTGCCACAAGGCACGAAACTGGCTGAGCTTATTGGTGAAAGAAAAAAGGAAGTACTGTGCCATCGCTGGATGTCTTCCACAATGCCGTCTCGATATTCGTTTCTCAACTGTTCCGTCGATTCGTTTGAGCAGTCATATCAAAAGCTGCACGCATAACGCAATTTTCACTTTCACTGCCCACCAAATCACATCAAAATTGAAACGAGGTTAGCATTGTCAGACTGCTACACCCCTCCAAGCAATGTGGATATTTATAACTTCCCACGGGGTCACTTTATGACAACTATGAAAACGTCAGTCCTGAAGGAACATCGGCCGTTGTACACACTGTCGAGTGCCAAATTAGGAAAAAAAAACGACTATTGTCTTTCAGCAGGCTGTTTGAGGTAATGAATTTCAGGTTGGCCATTAGTACAAGTACTGAATTTCACCATTACCTGAATTTCGCTTCAACTGACAATGTGTTTCATGGCAATAACCAATAGATTCAACAGCACGGACGGGCCGCGCTGGAGGCGCGTTTCCACATTCCCAGACCACGCCTCGTCCGACGACTGTCCGTTTCTTGAAAGTTCCCCTTGTAAGAAGGGAGCGGGCTGCAAACCATAGCAGACCGTAGCAAGCCGCTTTTACTTGTCGACGGAAGGACCGGATACAAGGAGACGCAGATTTCGACGCGTCTCCGAGAGCGGCCACTTTGCGGCGGTACATTATTCATCGAGATCTCAAGAGGTCGGTTGAAGTGTGCAATTAACTTGTTTCTCTGAACGCGACCGGGCGCGACAATGGTTTCGAGGCTGCTGCAGACAGCTCAACAAAATCTGGATGCGTAGTTTGCTGCGAAGACTGACCAGATATAGCCTACAAAGTGTGGTTACAGCCAAAAAAAAAAAAAAGAAGCTGACGGGGAAATGTGTACGCTGCGCAATTCTTAAACTCCCAGGAAAGGAATGAATTTAATTAAAGAGAAAAGAAGAAACACCTTTAATACCACTTGTTGTATGTCAACATATTTTGTCCGTTTGGACGTTGCCTTGCTTTGGTTGTTCTAGATCTCTAAAAAGAAGACGGCATAGTCGTGGCATCACTTGCTTATGGTAAACTAAAAAGGTAGTCAGATGAGATCATAATATGGTGTGTGACAATACGTTATTACTCCATCATATGACCACCAGGGCCGCCAGGGCCATTCGTACAGGTGCCCTGGAACCTGCACACTACGTATATATATGTACTGATACACAAAGGTGCCTTTGTCGATGATTTCTTGGTGTTCGCGCCAGCAATTAAGAAAACCTACTTCATTAATTTTCGCCCAATAGTGGTAACCCATAAACTAAGAGCGAGAAAATAATGACCACGATATTCACACAATGACCGTAATTATGGGTGTATCATTAGTATACTAGGGTTAATGAGCCCTGTGTGGATACCTTGGAGACAAGGCAGCACTAGCTCTCGTTGCCTGACATTGACATATAAAGCCTTACTTTTTGGGTTAGTGTTAAAAACACGTCATGGGCACATTCTGCAGATACAAGATAATAGAGACTTATCATGTTTTACAAGTGAAACATGTAGTTCTATTCATGGATAACATAGCACAAAGCTTTGATGTCACAACCTCAGAACATAAATCGCCTGTCAAAGCTAGAAACAGGTAACATTACTCAATCGACTCTTTTATATGGACACCCTGCGATAGACGGATCTCATGATTACACCAAGCGACACATGTTATCTCTCGCAGCCACACTGTGCCACAACATCGGACGTAACAATCGAGACGACCATGGATAGCATACTGATCAATAGGCTTAGATAATTTTGACATTCTGCTTTACCTCACTCCAAGTATTATTTGTCGTTCACTTGAATTAGACGTGTTCAGATTCCACAAGGAAATGCGAATATACGACTTGACTCCAACCAAAATGTACTCAGGAAATTCATCAGACGGCCCGATCCAATTACCTACCACGACCAACGAACGAGGCTTTTAAAGCAATATGCCATGTTCGAAGTGTGCTGGTAATGTATTATAAAAGGCACAAGAATCACGTCACAACTTCAGCATATTTTGCAGGGTCGTGGGTTTTAAGATAAAAACGGGAGTTCTGTCTAGTTGGCCCCGTAGTATGGTGGATAAGTATCGAGGATGCCCGTGGTGGTTCGAATCTTCGATGGTCTTTTTTAAAAAATTCTCCTTCTTTGTTACTATGTTTTCAGTTCAATATCAATTTTGAGAGGTCATTCAAGTTAGTGCTCAAATTTGTAGCCTTAAATTTTGTTTCATTCAAGGGAATAAAAAGCTCACTTCGATACGTGATGGACTTAAGCCTCACCTATTGTTTGGGCACTCAAATCACATATTCCGATAATTACCTGCTACCTTCAAGCATGGATTTTTTTGTTTTAAAACCTCCTTTATTGACAGCGCTAGCCAGGATAAACAGTCGGGTGATCAGCTGATAGAGTGTACAATGGACCCCAAATGCATATACTTTGCTGTTAAGACGAATTCCCGATACGCCATGATATGTATTATGAGCAATATAAGGAAAGATGCGCATTATAATCCCAGTTTAAATACCTCTCTTTAATAATAAAAATCAACAAATGGATCAGTACCTTTGGCAGTGGTGAGGACGTCATTTATGACGTAGTTCTCTTATACATGCAACATCCTTTTTTCTTATCTAGAATACATCATGCATAATAATATGAAGTCATTTACCTGGTCATGATTTAGATATCCAGGTAAATGTTTGTGAACCAAATGTAAATCACGATTTGTTTCATTGGCATTTCATTTTCAGCATCACCTTTTGGCGATAACTTCTTTTTCCAACGTGCCTTCAATCTCGACTTATCGTTGGGATATAATACCCATTTCATCGCTGCATTCGCCGCTCTCAACCAACCTCTTATGATATTACCTGCGCGGAAATTACACACTTCCGATATGATGCATGGAAATGTGGGGCACCCCAAATGGGGGAATAGGGTCACAGTTTCCCAGGAAAATTAATTTGCAAGCCCCCCCCGGCACTCCCTCCTACGAATGTTAGTCTGGCTGGATTTAGATCCGAGAATTATCTGTTAACGTCAAAGAGACCGCATCTCAATAATGGTATATTTGTCTTCAATCAACCAATAATAGCTGCGCCTCGAGACCAGGAAACAAAAGAGACCACAGAATGCTTTAGGCTTGGAATTCTACCTCGGCTGTTTCAACACCGGCCAAGACTTTCTTTTTGCATCCCATAGCCAGACGCCGTAAGAGCGATATATTTTGCCAAATTTTTGTGTGCATGTTTGTTTCAAATAACGATACACCCAGATACGGTCGCCGAAAAGGCGCCAGTACATCGCCAAAGGTGTTTCATTTAATAACACTGCTTTAAAAAGAGCATGCTAGCACCCATATCAGTCGACTGGATGTTTACCCATGGATTCTGTTTGATTCATGCTGAGACAACCTCACGTGATTGTGTGTGTGGTTTGTTTGTTTTTTGGCTGCAGGTTTTTTCTCTGCCCTCTGTTTCACTAGTTTGGATACCAGACCCGATAACTCTGACTACTCTACGAATCAAGGGTCCGGTATCACCCAATGTCCACGTGACCAAAACTGGAGGAATTCCTCCAGTTTTCCGGAAATAGCCGAAATATTCCGAAGTCGACCCGTCTATATTCGGCACGTTCAGATAGTAGGCTACTGTTGATGTTCGGTTATTCCCGACCGGTTAGGTAGGATAGCTGTTAAACATAAACCCCCGTATCCTAATAGCAGCTGTTGATATATATTTGACTTGAGATTGAAACGAAAGGCAGAATATAA